AGCAGGAAGCAGGAAGCAGGAAGCAGGAAGCAGGAAGCAGGAAGCAGGAAGCAACCCCTGGGCGGCTGGCAGGATATAGGAAAAGAGCTCAGCTCTGCATGCTGCCGTAGCTTTTGCAGAGAAGGGCTCCTGCTATGGAAAGTGGATCATGGTTTAAGGAACCAAGGGATATAATCAATCTCCACATCATTAACACACAGGACAGAGATGATCAAGAGACCATTCCTCATTTTAAGAACCTAGTGTTAAGCAGCAATAATAAACAGCAAAACTTTTAACTCAGCATACATAATGTCATCCCACCTTCCAGCTGTTCTGAGCATTACATATGGACTCTATTTAAAAAAAAAAAATGAGCTCAGAGGTTAAGACTAATGTGCCCAGGATCATGAAACTGGGATTCAAGGTCAAGACTTCCTGAGCACAAAGGACTATGCTCTTTCCAGCCTCTTGAAGTTGGGGACAGGAAGGAGAGGTGGATTTGAACTGAACATCTAATTTAGCTATGATAGTTGTGCTCTTGGGTGTATTTCTTTCTGGCAGCAACAAAATAATCACTGACCTTTGTGCACATGAGTGAGTGATTGAGTGTGTGTGTGTGTGTGTGTATCTGTGTGTACACTCGTGCAGGATTGCAAGGGTGTGTGAGAGTGCAAGCACATGTATGAACGTGCATGTGGAGGCCAGAGGTTGACTGTTTTCCACCAATGTTTTTGACACAGGGTCTCTCGTTGGCTTTGGACTTACCAATATGGTTGAGCTGGTTGACCAGTAAGCCGCAGAGATTCTCCAGTCTCTGATACCTCAGTGCTAGGATCACAGGCATGCATGACTGCTACCAACTTTTTACATGAGTGCTGGGCCTCCAATTTCAAGTCTTCATGCATACACAGCAGCATTTTACCAAAGCAGGGCATCTTTCAGTCTGGTTTTATTTTGTTTCTTTTTTGAGAGACTGGTTTCTCTATGTTAAGCTGGTCTCCACTTGTGGTCATTATCCCGCCTCAGTATCCAACATTCAACCAATACAGGTGCACCTCACTATACTGGCTCCTGTGCCTTCTCTCTAAGGGCAGCAGAAAAGATGGAGGGAATCTGGTAGGTATTCCTGACAAGATATCAGAAGCTCTTTCTGGGGTAATGACAAAGGGATACCGAAAGCGGCAGGTGCACACTTATAAAGGACTTTTTCTAAGGACTGACAACGTTTAGAATGGGTGAAAGATGAGGAAGAAGTCAAAGATGACTCTGGGTATCCTGTGTGGGCAAGTAGATGGTGATGCCCCTGGCCAACATGGGATCAGACTATCAAGGAAGGAGGATGACCAAGTTATGTCTATATGTGCTAACTATCCAGAGACAGACAGAATGTGAGGGATGCAGAAGAGCCAGACACTCAAACATCAGCACAGACTGATGGAACAGATAGATCAGAAACTGAAGGGGAAGGGAGATGAGCATAGATAAAGGTTAACTCTTTATGTTCCACTGTCTGGAACTACCTAAATGTATACTTGGATGGTCTGCAATTTTTTTCATCCTGGAAAAACGTTTTGAAAAGAACATACATATGAGTTGGTATCTGTGTTTCCTATTTCTTTGTAAAATGTTCATATCCTTGTAGCATTAACCCAGCTTCCCCCAATGCTTACAACTCACATAGCCATAGGACAGTGGTCAAAGAAAAGCAATTAACGACTATGCAAGTTACAGAGTTTATTCCAATTCCACCAATTATTTCACTAATGTTGTTCCTTTGTTCAAGGATCTTTTCCAGAATACAATACTGTATTTTTGAGACTCAAACACATAGGAAAAAGAAAATCTAGGACATGGTCTTTTAGTGGGATTCCAAGGGTAGCAACAGAAAATATCATATTGTAACAGGTAAGATAGAGGCTCCTGGGAGTGAATGGAAGGAATCATCTTGAAAGGTAAATAATGAAGTTTCTTAAGTAAAAGCTAAGAGGCAGCAGTGCTAAGAAACAGACACACTGACCCAAGTCAGTCATGGGCTAGACAGTCATCACATCATTCCACCGGACCTCTTCCATTGATATAGAGACCCATCCATTAGTGTGGAAGGGCTGAAGGAAGGTTCTGACATAACCTATAGCAAGGACAAACACTAGGGAGCACATCTGTTACGTTTGATACTTAAAACTCTCTCTGGTCTAAAATCCTAACGTTTCTATGATTAGAAGTAGGTAGGATGAAGGAATTATGCATAAATCAAATCATCCTGGCATGCCCTTGAACCCCAACAGACAGCTAGAGTCCTTAGTTATCCAAGCAAGCAACATTTGTGTTTTACCTGCAATGAGGCAGGCCTTAGAGCAGGTGCTGCGTTTTCTGCTTTAATGACCACAACTGATAGTAAGGAAGAGCACTTTCAGTTTCTCCTTCCTGGGTTCTTCTTCCTTCCAAGCCCTGTACACTACTCTTTTCACTGGCTTCTGTCATCTCTACTGTTTCTTCAGCATTATCTGTACAGCCGAAGATAATTCTGCCTTTATTTAATGCTGCAAACTGTGTAAATTTATTTTGCATACACTTATTTTCCCTCTCCCTTTAAAGGAGACTCTTATGTTCCTCCAGAAGTTTGTCACCTGCTGTCTCCCTGTATCAGGCTCCCGTGTTGAACACCATAATTTACATGAGGTCAGTCATGATAGACATAAAAATTGGAAAATTCAATATATGTGGAAAAGAT